TAAATGTGTAAATGTGTAAATGTCTTTTTTTGGTGGACAACGTTAATTGTTTTTGTGGTAAATTGCTTTTTTTAAATAAGATCGAGATAATGATTTATGGGTTTGCAAAATTAACTATTATAGATCTCGTTAACAAAGCCAACGTTCCTCTCGATCAGCACCGAAAAGAGGATCTCGTTTCTTGGTGCTGACCAAGAGGAAGGTGGGCTCTGGATACGGCTGTGATAAAGTGAGTGGCGCATGCGTGCCTTGCAGCGATCGGGATGTTTTCTAGAATTTTGATTGAACGATTTTTTTTTTTTAGCGTAATGTGATTGGCCTGGTAATGCCATCACTGTGTCCACGCCCTCTGTTCCTGCCATGTTTCGATATTTGATTGAATGGAGAGTAAATCCTTGTGTAATAAGGTGATAGATCCCTTCCGAATTCCAAATTACCGCAAATTACTCATTTGCTCAGGGTTAGCTTCGATTTTGTGCAGAATATTCACGTGTTCCAGTCAAGGTCCGTCAAGTTTCAAAATGTTCGTATTGTTGAAGTTGTGCATTCTTTACTTTTCTGTTGGTATTTGTGAATATTTAAACACAGATTCGAGGCTAAGCTTGAGTGAATGAGTCTGTAATCAAGGAACACAGCGGTAATTTGGAATTCGAAACGGTCTATTAAGCCGGAGTATGCCTTGCCGTGTCACGACCAAGCTTGTGCCGTGAGCTTTTCACAATCATTCGAAAACTGCTCGAATACCAACTCAAAAATGGCTTATGCCAAATAAATTGATTTAGTTATTCTCGGTTTCACTTTATGTGCCAAGCGAAGTGTCCACCTGGTCATAACCAAACATATCTGTCGCCACGAAAAATACTTTAAATCCGATTATTTTATAACGGAAATAGAATTGTGTATCCAACGATAGAACTATTACTTATTGCAAGACAGAAACATGGCAGTGTTGATGGCAATGGATGATGATTACAAATATTTCGTTAAATTGCACCAACGCTCCTAAGAAGACGTGATGCCGTAACGTGTAATCTAAGAATTTGTACATCTAAAAATAAGCTATGTACTTATACCGACAGAATATTTTCTCTTGCTTATACTTAATCTTTTCACGGTTTCGCGCATTTGAGTTAAGTGATATTATGGATATATTTACATGTAATATTCAAGGAAGAACATTAAAAATGTAGTGAATACCAACTACAAAGACAAAGTATAGCGTGATATACGGCTTCACTGTTGGGAACCTGCTTTTTGATTGCCACAGTAAAGCACCACTGTTGTTAGGTTTGGCTCGTTTTGTTTATAATCAATTGTTTGGAAGAGCGAACCGTATTGTCATGTTAACACTATGTATTGTTTTTTAATACCAATGATGAAACTCATTGGGCCATAAGATTAAAGCTAAAATATGAATATTCATCTTAAAAATCCTAATAATTCTTAGCATTACTCACGAAGAAGAGAAAATTAAAGAAGAAGACCAAGTACTTGACACACTTCGTACCGCCGTCGACCATGATGAAAAATGCTCCCCTGAAAATGAATTAAAAACTTGAAACATCTATAAAACAAGACATTTATTTAATACTCTGTCATTTCCTTCCCATTGTGAATCAGTCCGTGTTCAAATACGTAGTTATATATTTGTGAGACGTCATTTCTTAAATCTGTTAAAACTAAAAAGAAAATTACTTTTTACGATTCGAAAATATGAGACGAAGCTACGTAAACTATAAGGTTTTTTACTACGACTTAACGTGTTTCGGCAAAACGTTTGCCATCTTCAGAAACGATTCGTTTTGAATTGACTGACTTTGGTGCTTTTCCTCGCTTTGTGGTGCGTTTTGAAATTATTTAATCGCATCTGTTCAAGCAAAATAAGATGAGTATATTTACTCCAGTTCTGACGCCCTTTCTCGCAAACCGCTTCGAGTTTGAGCTCACATATTCCCAGCCAAATAGACTGATCTTCTGGGCCCGGTTGTACGAAGCCTGGATAGCGCTATCAGCCGACGGATAAATCTTATCCAGTGGATAAATTTATCGGAAAACAGCATCGACTTATCCACTGGATAAGGATTTATCCGCTGGATAGCACTATCAAGGCTTCGTACAACCGGGCCCTGAGTCGGTAGTCCACGTTACTTATAAATCATTTACAAGACTAGGGATTATCATCGCTCAGGCTAAAAATGTGCAGAATTTTCCATAAATTCGAGCCCCTATTTAGCTGAAGTTGAAGCCAAATATGGAAGAAATAAAACGTACCTTTAACTTGTAGTCGTTAAGATAGTGAAGAAATATTTTCGAACCGGTTTTTTTTACTTAGAACGGGAGCGCGCTGTACAACAGATTCAAAACAGCAAATGAAAGATATGGTATAAATATGCATATGGTCGTCGTATTTTAATTGGTCCACAGGAAGCCCACACAATGGCTGTGAAGCAGCAAATTTGAATATATAGAGAAAATGAAGCGGATTCAAAGGATATAATCAGCAGAGCAGAACAGAGCAGAGCAGAGCAGAGCAGAGCAGAGAAGAGAAGAGAAGAGAAGACTTGATTTAACCGGGGAATTGTTTAGGTATATAATGTATCCGCAATTTCACTAAGAGCAATACTTGTAAAACGAGTTAAAGTTGAAATAAACAAAATAGTGATCATAATTTATTTAGTTTTTAATTTGATATTGAATGCAGATTCACTGGTGGTAACTCTGATATCATCACTACATGAGATTGTTCCAAACCTTTGAACCCTCATGTCGGATAGACTTCTTTCCGTAGGTTTCYGTGCTGCAGTTGGGGAATTGCATGCGCACTTTGTTAATTCGTTTATATTCAAATGTTAAAACTCCTTTGAGATTCCACAAAAAAAGCTAACGAAAGGGATTGATTGTGGAAGTGTAGGTATGAAACGTCATCATGCTTGAGGTCTACACGCTAAGTATCGAGAAGAGACTGGTTAGAATAGACCCTTTTCAAGTTCCAAATTACCGCTGTGTTTTCTTGATTACAGACTCATTTACTCAGGATTAGCCTCGATTTTGTGCAGAATATTCACGTGTTCCAATCAAGGTCCGTCAAGTTTCAAAGTGCTCGTATTGTTGAAGTTTTGCATTCTTTACTTTACCGTTGGTATTTGTGAGTAATATAGACAATGATTCGAGGCTAACCCTGTGCAAATGAGTCTGTAATCAAGAAACACAGCGGTAATTTGGAACTGGAAAAGGGTCTATTGTACGTCGTCTTTGTATTTTGTGCGCGAGCGCTATTTTCCTTTTATTTCCGAGACACAGTAAGGAAAATAGGTCCAATTCTCTACTAAGCACGTATATATGTAGACTTGTAGGCATGTATATGGTCTATAAAATGATAACAATAAAGAGCGGTGGGTTTTCTTACGCATTTAATTGTATTTAAAGACATATTATCAAAAAAGACGCATTGAATTTATAAAGTTGACAAAAAAAAAAACAACAGATCTTTTAGGCCTGTAAAAAAACTTGTACCGTGACGTCAGGGTGTAACCGCATTTGGAATGGCTGATGAGCTGAATCGCGCGCTGGGATTGGTTCAACGGACCACATTATTTTAACTAGCACCGTGACCGTGACGGCAAGGGATACCAGCATTTGGATTGGCTGAGCTGAATCGCGCGCTGGGATTGGTTCAATGGACCACATTATTGTAGGTAGCACCGTGCCCGTGATAGAATGGTGTATGAGTATTTTGATTGGATGAAAAGTTGAATTGCGCACTGGTATTTTTCCTGAATATATCATACAAAGGTAGCCCAGCAGATCTCTTTACCTTGGGCGTATCATTTTCCCATATCAGACCATGTCAAATTTTTGAGAATACTTTATTCATGTGCCCTCTCCTTAAACAAAGAAGTGATACTATAGAGAATAACACATGGTCTGAGCACGTTGGAAGACATTATTACAGCCAAGCGGAGGTGGCCCATGTGCTGGGATCCAATCCCTCTCCAATTTTTCTGGATCCAGATTTTTCAGTCTTTCCATAGACAATTTGGCATGCTGACAATAGAACTCTTTACCGATACGGCGGTCATCTTGAATTCTATTTTTTTAATTAAGATATTATGGGATGTTGAGGGGGCAGCTATGGAAAAATATATAGACTGCACATCTTTCAGGGGGTCTTTTAATTTTTGCTGTTTAACTTTACGCTTTTCAATGAGAAGCACATCTAAAAAGCAATTGAATTTGCTGGTAGTTGGAACAATAAGCGAAACACCAAGATTTCAAATTATTTGAAAACGTAGTCTCGCACTCTATGCTTTTTTAACTAATTTTTAACGTGTTTGTCCCCTCGGCATCCCATAATTCAAGATGGCCGCCGTATCAGTAAGAAAGTCTATTATTCATCACACTAATACGAAGTATTTCCCTTTAGTCGACTAGATAGCTGTTATTGTGAAATTTTTATCTAAACTAATCATTTTGTCTTCATTAAAATTAGCCGCTACATCACAGGCGTTCCTGGTTGGTTCTGGTAAGGGACTGAAAACACTGCGCCCCAGTTTCCCGTCGCTGACCCGAATGAACCAGAAACGCCTGGAATGTAGCTAGAGTATACATTTGATGATGAAAAAACTAAGCGTAGTGTCCACGACCAATCCTGGAGATCAGAATTAGAGCGAACACCATTCCCAGTATCTGAAAGAAATTGCATGAATGTAATTAAGATCTTGTTCTTGTATACCTTGTTCATGTTTATGCTCAATAGCGAAAAATCATTGTCGGATTAGAAAAATAAACCATTCACCCTTCGTACAATCAGACCCTTATGTATTCATTTGAAAAATAGCTATTTCAAAGAATGTTGGTGAAGGTTTTGTTGCATGTCACATGTTACGTATTGCATGTTGCATGCTGCGTGTTGCGTGTTGCATGCTGTGTGTTGCATGCTGCGTTTTGCGTGTTGCATGTTGCATATTGCATATTGCGTG